CAAGTTCAGGTTTCGTCTTAATTCAATCTTTTTGTCATCATAATAGTTCTTAATATCTAACGATCACTTCTAATCATTGGAACAAACATGTTTTGTCAGCTTCATAATCAGTATTGTGGCGTATACCTTGATTTTTAGACCGCATATGGTCACAATGCAGTCATGGTCTGAGGCTGCCTGTTGTCTGGGCAAGACGTGATACTGATCAAGGTGTGGTGTTGTGGTGATGCTTCGAGGTAGGAAATACACAGACAATAATCAAATTTTTTATGGCCAATAATCATCTTCTTTCACAACATGAATCAGAATACGTTGCATTCTATGATAAGCATCATGAAAAGTAACAAATATCATCACAAAATATAACATCAAATATCGTCATAAAATACAACAAAAGCACCCAGAACCTTGCAATATCAAGACATCAATCCACTTCATTTAAAAAATGTTTTCAAGGAAATATGTAGCATGCATATTCCATCTCACAAATGAATACTTCAACGACACATTCGTAGATTTGTTTAGCAACGCCATTCAAGGGACCAACCTGAGGTATGAAATTATAACTTATAGATGAGATATTTTTTAATGACATGAAAAAAGCTCAAACGTCGCCGGAGACTGAACGAGATTACAACAATTGCAAAGCATGGATTCACTTGGATATTTTAAGTGAAATGAAATAATTTTATTGGCCAAAATTCGCGCAAGTTGAAAGGAATTTATCGAGTCGATCATCAAAACGTTGATAGGTTTTGTTATCACTATCAACAAATCAGATGATAAGATTCGAAGCAAAACACATGAAATAAAACGAAACGACGACACATCTGCACGTTATATATCTCAAAATAGCCACATAGGGCCCACAAGAGAGCGGAAAACCATGATAAAAGCATCACTGTTTTTCAAGTATCCAAAAATGCGAAGAGGAGATGATTGTGTCTAAAAACGTGCTTTCTGTTTACTAACATAGGACAGTCACTTTGAAGAATCGCCAAAAATCTCGATTAGGAGCACGCACCTCGGGAGGAACCGAACCACGGGCAGCCATGATGAATGGCACCACCACTGCCACTGCTCTATAAGAGCACGTTTCTAGGAACAAATTGCAACTTCTACATAAATGTTAGGGTGCAAAAATTTGACTGCCTTTTGCTCTTCCTGTTTCCAAATTCTTCACAAGCACGTAAAACGTGCTTATTTTGGATTAAAAAAGAGATTTTTGACTAAAAAACCTACCCAACCTACCTCCCAGCTCATCCACCAACCTCTCAACCTAATAACTACCCGGTACGCACTTCCCCGCCCTGAAATCAACAAATTTCATCCAATCCTATACCAAATCGTGCCCTTTCCCTCCCCGGCCTGAACGAATTCAAATGAATTCAATCCCACCCTCTCGCGATGGCTCTGTAGGTCAATATTACAGGAAAAGGGTCCTCCTCATCCAAGCCATTCCCGGAAATACCGACAAAGTAGCTCATGTGCAAAGGGCTGAACCGAAGGTTTCGAACGCTGACCGGCAAAAACGGTCATCAATGCCGAATCGCCGTTACGAACAAGCGATTTGCCCCAATCTCCTAATCCCATCAACCTATTACCTTTTGGCAACATCTTACCGCATACGTAATGTCATCTGCATAGGCTAGCTCCGCCTCATTTGCATATTTCTATGCTAATTTGCATATTTTCCTTACATCTCCTAGCCATTTTATTTTGCATTTCTGTTTTCAATTTTTCAATTTATACATGATTTTTTTTCAATTTATTTTTATATTTATCATAATTTATAGTGTAACTTAATCAATCGTTTTATGCAATTTCAATTTATGCAATTGTTTGAGGGAATCAATGTGCTGAGTTGATTTCCTCACTATGTCATATTCTTGACTTTATTGTTAAGTCGTTTTCTTTCATTTGAAACTTTTACAGTAACTCCTTATAGTTAGCTGCCATCCTTTATTACATCATATTAACATGACATGAAGACACATTATAAGTAAGACGAAGTAGGTACAGTATAACTCAGTTAGACCAATTAGATAATTCATAATAATTTGTGAATGAAAGATGAAAGGGATACAATTAAAAGAGGACGTCACACGAAATTTTAACATGTACAGATATTACATAAGAGGACATGTAGTAAATTATTTTTTTTATTTTTTCCCGTTTTTTTTCATTTTTCATATATTTTTTTTCTTTTTATTTTTCTTCATTTTTTGTTTTATTTTTAGGTTTTTGATTTTTACTTTATTTTTTAAGTTTTATTTTTGGTTTTTCTTTTTAATTTTTTTATCTTTATTTTTTATTTCTTTTTATTTTTGTTTTTTTTAATTTTATTTTTTTTTAAATTTTGATTTTTTTGATTTTTCTTTTTTTATTTTTGATTTTTTCTTTTTTTTTCAATGTTGACGTCTTGATCATCTGATGCCTGTCCTATTTCCTCGGAGGTTGGCTGTGACCCTGTTAAGCTGCTGCCACTGACTTTAACCGAACTATCTTCATCTAACAAAAAAATCCAATAGTTTTTACATGAGGTCACTGCTTAACCCCAGTTGAGGAGCTGGCATGCTACTCGCCCTATGACTCCTCTTCGACCTATGGGGTTGATTAGGGTGCCCAAAAACATTCGCAGTTTCCATTATAAAGTTTTGGAGCACCTCGTTTCACTGAGCAAACAGTGAATAACAAAATTTTCCAATAGTTGTGCAGTGACTTTAGCGGTATAATTAAACCGTTCATACCGCCCGATATTTTTCACATAATTTCAACGGGAATCAGCAATCATATTTCGGTCCTAATCTGTAATCAGTGGCAGCCAGCCTTGTTGTTGGATCTTGAGTTGGTTTTAGTCGTTTTAATTGATCTTGAGTTGATGTTGTTGAGGAATTGAAGTAGGTACATATATTATTCACATACAATGTCCCAAACAAGGAAAGAGCTAATAAATGAAAAACAAAATTCGGCATTCATCAACTCAATAGACAATTGTATTCTGATAAGATCTTATGATTAAATAATCATAAACAATTCATGGAAATGTAGAGAGAAGCGAATTTGTACGCAAAAATATACCAAGCAAAAGGGAAGTTTAAAAATTCACAATCATTTAGAAAACAATATTTGTTTGGAATAATAAGGTCAAATACAATTACGATGCATTCCTAAACATTAAACTTCTGACCAAATAACACATTTCATTAAGTCATCCACAAATTACGAAGTAATACATAGGAAAATTATCAATATTCAATAATGTGATATCTAACAATAAGGAATGGCAGCTAACTATAAATTGGAGTATTGTTCAGTTAATTAATATTGCGTAAATTGAAAAAGTTCTTGGTGATTTATTCTGTTTGTGACATTATTTCATCAGTTTCCTGCCTATGCAGATGACATTTACGTACGCGGTATCCAATTTTTCTGGGACTTTCTCTGAGACTTCTGAGTCTTTCTTTTTATTATCATTGTTATTATTATTGTCACTCCTTTATGATCGTCATATATTTCATTTCTATCCTTCATCCGTATCATGACGGGAATACAACACAACCTCTCACATTCGAACCCCCTTGAGACTTGGATATGATTTCCTCCACTAGCTATAATCTATATGATTTCCTCCACTAGCCTTAATTTATAGCTAGTGGAGGAAATCATATCCAAGTCTTTGTGGTTCCCAGCCTGGGGAACTCGCACCCTTTGGAGGTGCGAGCAAAGAAAATGCTGAGAACCACAAATCTAATAGTTAATTTCCGTAATTTTGATATGCTTCAGATATTCTTCAGAGGTATATCAGTCTCCCTACCGAGTACCTTTCAAACGAGCTTTCTGTTCGTCTTCACCTGCATATCAAATAGATGGTTATCATCAGACTCATTTATCGCCAAGCTCTATCTCTATGAAGAACAATTAAAACCTTAACAGTGCATTTCTTCAACCCTTTGTTGTTGTATGAATTCATGATTCGCCCTTTCATTATCTCATTCGAACTATACCCGAGAGGGTTACAAGGGTCTGCGTCTCAGATCTTCAATTAAAATCGGATTAATAACTGATCGTTCTTATCCATTCTCTTTTGATTAACTCAAATCTTCTTCGCCGGAAGTTTCTTAATGAGACGCAGACCCTTGTTATAGGAGGGGATTCGAATATGACAGGTTGTGTTGCATTCCCCTCGTAACGGTGATCCGTAATGTGATGGCCGTCTCAACCGGCCAACCTGCGTACCCTTCAGTTCAACCCTTCACCCATGAGTAACTTCACCGATATCTCCGGCAGCGGATTGGAGAAGAGGATCATTTCCCCATAATGTTTCCCATCCAGAACCGCCGAGGGAGGTTGAAAATATCGCTCATTCCAATTCATTCAACGCAGCGGTTAGTTCAAGAGCGAGATTTGGACTTAGAATCGAATGAAATTTGTGGATTTGTAGGGTGGATGGGTGCATATAACGGACAGATCTCAGGTGTGAGGAGCGGGAACGAAATGAGAGTCAGGTTAGGTAAGTCTCATCTAATACTGAAGCAAGGAGTTGAAGTGGAAAAGTGTTGATAAGAAGGCGACTAACCATTGAAATGAAGGGTACCAACCTTTGGTCCGTTGAGGCGACCATTTAAACACGAATCGCTTGTGCCGTTCTTCTTCTCGAATTGTCGTTCCATTTGATTCCGTTGACTGTCGATCGTACCCTTGAAATTTATCAATAGGATTGATTTCATACTTATTTGATTGAATAACGCGATAAATGCGCTGAGAAAAAGGTAGTGAGTCCAAAAAGAGCGATTAATTCATTATTATTCTGATATCAGCAATAGAACTCTGTGTGATTGTTCCGGTTTTGAGTTGACTTCATAGTATTGAGAAATTTTCGCCTTAAGAAAATCCATGGAAAAGTGGGTGATCATGAAAAAAATGCGTTCTGAAGAAAAAAGTCATGCGTGCAAAAAAACGAAACGAATTGCACGCGACGCGTTCGAACAATGACAATTATAATCCTATTGTGCACGTGTGCATGAGAACGCGAGAGTGCATGATTTCGAGAGTGTTTTTTCTCTGATTTTGATACGTGTAGTTTGGTCGTTGTAGTGACAGTGGCTGGCTGGTAAAGCAGACTTGTTGTTATGTGAATGAGATGTTTGAGCTTTATTTGTTTCTTTCTGATTTGATTGATTGAGATTATATCAGCAAGGTGATCATATTCCAAATTTAGCAAGTGAACCAAGTTTAGTTATGTAGCGGATGAAGCAAGTGGTAATGTGTGGTATACAATAGAATTACTCAAAATCATGTGATGTTCGAGTTTTTGATGAATATTTATCGTTAAATGCATTCATTCATCATATGCTAAACTATCGTTTATTATTCAATAGTGATTTCAATCATTATTACTGTTTATTCACTCTTATTACGATTATTATCATTGCTGTTATTATTCACTTTCATTATTGCTGATGCATCGTATTACGGATCAATACGCATTACCATTCATAAAAAAAGATTTTATTCCACAAATAAGGTTCGATGAGATTTATGTGAATATACATTATGATACATTCCTTTAGAAGATTTATGTAGAACATATTTCCATGCCCAAAAGTTCGTAATGATAAGGGTTTTGGAGGAGGCGATCTATTCTAGACGAGGAACCCATTAAAAAGCGGGGGGAAGGGAGGATTAGAGTAACTTGAACCAAGATTTTTCAGCCTCCGTGCAATTCTAGTGCCGATTACTAATTTGACGATCGGAGAGGTCCACTCTCATTACCGCCCAATGATTCCACTGGAGATGGGAACTTGTGCAAGGAAATTTGGCTCAATCAGCATAAAGAAACGTTAGAATATGAGAGGATAAATCTTATAAGATGGTTTGATAATATGGTGGATATTACAGCAGCCAGTACTGTATGAATAAGAATTAATGTTTGAAATAATATCATAAATAGGAAATTTGCAAAACAAAATTTGATGGATATATGAATGAAGCTTACTATAAGTAATAGAAGTTCGCCTTCTTCAAATAGGTTCACACGCAAAGAATCGTCATAATCGTAATCATGATAATATCAATTGCAGTAAATATATTATTGTAATAACGTTAATCGAGGAAACTACAATGGTGATTATACTCATGATCTTGCCAAGAACAAAGAGAATATTATGAATTATAATCGGAGTAATAACGATAGAAAAATGATTACAATACAAACTGCAAGCAGTATGATAATATATAAGAATGATAGTAATCATAACCATAACTCCAACAATACCAACTCTAATAAACTGTAGGTTGATAATAATAATTTAATAATAACATCAATCTCGTAATATCTATAATAGTAATAATTTCGATCATACTCCTGAACGTAACAGTAGCTAAAGTAGCAATAATCAAAATAATAATCATCACTGTAAGTAATCACACGAAATCTGAATCGTCGAACAACGCATCGATCGATTCCGAATCAAAGAACATCACATTTGCTTTTTATGGACCCCGATAATGAATTGTAGTTAGACTATACAATGGACATTTAGCTATCCGTTTTGAAGACAAATATTTCATAATGACCACTAAAAAGATTTTGGTTAATAATATGATATATACACTCCAGTACCTGACAGGAGAAATCCTCGGAAAAGTAATGAAATCTATAAATTCGCAATTATACACTGAATGACTGCGAATTTAGGAGATATTAAAAGTTTATGCGCATCATAAATTGTTAATACGGGCTATTGTAAGACTATATCAGATCTTATGTACACAATATCTACACAATCAGTTAAAACTGTTAAGAGTAAATAATCAGAAGAGTGAAGTAACTTTAAGAAAAGTAACATAACCTGAACAATAACAGTAACTAATGCGCTATAAATATGGTATTATTCCTCATAGAAGTAAGCATAAGAACAATATCTCACGCAATTACGTAGAAAAAAGGTACAACCTTAAAGAACACACAGAAGATTGGAACCTTACTGGTGTGAATAGTTTCATTCTTTATTTGAATGAGAAAAACATGAGTCACTTTTTTTGCTACTACATAAAACTTTGAACTTCTACGATCCGTAGTTTTCATTATAGGATCGTTAATTACTTAATGAATCTAGAACGTCCGAAAAAAACATAATCAAGGAAATAAAAATTCAAAATGAACCGATGGAACACAATGAAGATGAACAGAACACCAAAATCATTAATTGAAAAGATAAGTCAGATTCAAATCGACCGCTAAATCGCCCATAAATTTCAAGCAAATGACTTAATTGGATCGCACTCAGACATCATTCGGTTCCAGTACCGACATGGATTCATTATCGACAACGTCAAACTCTGAATCCAGCGCAGTCGAGCCTCCACTGTCTGACCGCTCTCCATCTGAATCGTCCATTTCGTTCGTCGTGTTCTGAAACATTCAAATTAATCACAGTGAGTGAAGAACGTGATCCGGCAAATTTTCACTATCAGTAAGGCGTTCGACTAAAGCTGTTGGAAATATGAACATTCAGTCTCAGAAACGCAAATCATACTCAGAATGATGACAATCATAACAACGATGATAAATATAAAACAAAACCCGTCATAATATTTTTCCAAAAATAAAAAACAACTTGTTCACTCGAAGAAACGGTGTACAAATGAGCGTGAATAGAAAAATTTTAAAAAAAATCAAACCAAAGAAGATGAATACGGATAAAATCGAAAAACCAACCAATATCGAGAAATCCGACGTCACTGAA